CTCTGTTTTGATTGGGTGATGGCTACCACCTGGGTATATGCAGATGTAGAAGTTCATCAAACTACACCCTAAAGATTTGTGTCCATTTTACAACTGTAAAGGAATTTCCAATATCAAGGGAAGTTCTACATTAATGTAACAGCAAGAATTACAAGGATATTTATTCACCATATCCTTGTAACAGACACAGTAGCTGCCACCATTTAAAGAACCTGGCCCACTGCTAGATTGTAAGCAACATGTGTGCATAGCATTCTCAGCCTGTGGCAGTAAACGCTAACTGATGAGCAAAGTGAAGGGAAGACGGGTGCTGTTCATGGCTCACTCTTGGAGAAGGCACAGTTGCCAAAGCCAGGGTCAGAAACATGTACACTGGGAAAAAGTATGTATTTGACCTCCAAGGACAATAATCATCTGGCTTACAAAATGAGCTATATTAATTTTATTTTTTTAAGTGTTATAATATCTGGTATTAGTTTGAGACAGAAGCTAATTGTGTTGTCCAGGTTGGTATCACTCAAATGATCCTCCAGCCTCAGTCTCCTAAGTAGCTGGGAGTACAGGAGTGTCACTATGTCTGCTAGGAATGTTCTGTTGGATGTCCAGTTATTTGAAGACGATTAAGAAAAAGAAACCATTCTCATATGTGACCACTGTTATTCATCCTTTACTTTTTGTTCTTGTGCAAGCATGTGTTGTTCTGCCTAACAGACTTCTTTGGGACATTTCCTCTGGAGTCATTATGTCCACCGCAGCCCATACCCTCTAATTTCTCCCCCTTACAATTCTTCCCCAACTTGCTCCTGGGAGACTGGGAACTGGAGCCTGCTTTCTGTTACCAAATCCAGAAATGTTTACAGGAATTGTAACATGTCCACTTTTGGAGGGTGGAGGTACTGGGGATTTAACCCAGGGGTGCTTTACCATTGAGCTACATCCCCAGCCTTTTTCAAAAATTTGAGCTAGGGTTTCACTAAATTGCTGAGGCTAGCCTCAAACTTGCAATCCTGCCTCAGCTCTTGAGTCACTGGGATTACAGACCTGCGCCACCATGCCTGGCAATATGTCCACCTTCTAAAGACATTCTCAATGGCCAGGGCCTTGATTTGCTGGGCACTTGCCCTTCTATTTTTGCTTTTTAGTTGTATACCTTCTCTGTTTTTAACATTCCAATTTCCAATGATGGTCTTCAGCATTACAACAACTTTATTTGCCAAAGGTAAATAAGAGATCATTTTAGTAGCAAATACACTGGCTGAAGCTTCAAGAAGTAGCAGTCARTAGATGGAGGTTACACTCTAGGTCTACCTGAGTCTAAGAATGTAGAGGAGCTCCCACATCAAGCAACAAAAAACCCTAGTGGTTAGTTATATGCAAATAGGGTATAAATGAAAGTTAAGTGTGGCTTCTGAGGGACAGAACCCTGATGGTATTGTAGTGGGGTCAGTCAAGAACTAAGTGRAGTTAATCTGCCTGTAATTGTTATTGCATCTCCTTACTGTTCTCTTAGGTAATATAATCACAGTTCCCAGGTCAAATGTGGATCTCTCACTGGAATTGGCAATCTGATTTGTAAATCTATTCCCTTGATGCATGGTTCACAATAAAGAATTTCTAGACCTGAAATGTTGAGAATCAATGCTAGCAGAGGCCACCCCTAACAGCAAGTGGGGGAACACCTGGGCACTTGCCAAGGCTGTCCTCCTCATGGTCTTGTTGGGCCACAGAGTCTCCTTCAATTTGCCATGCTAGAGTGACAGAGATCATCAACTCATGGAGCAGGCAAACCAATATCCGGGTTCTCCCCTCCATGCCTGCATCTCCAACACTTCTCAAGGAACTGTAGTCACACCCAGTGGAAGGGAATAGAAGAGAGAAAATGAACAGGCTTTGTGTAGTTGCTAATAGAAGCCCTCACTCTGCCATGGYCTCCACCCCATGTCCTGCCCTGGCCAAACTCAACACTGTCTTTTTTGCAGGGACTCTATAGAGTACATTGGTGTTTGCTCATGTGAATGGGGCAGAATTCAGATGGCAGCTGGCTGAAGGAATATGCTGGGGATAGAGTAGGTAAGAAARGAAGCAATCAAAAAGCAACTTGGAAATGCCAAGTAAGAGACGATGGAAGGGGCTGGGATTGTGGCTCAGTGGTAGAGCGCTTGCCTAGCGCGCACACCCCTGGGTTCAATCCTCAGTACCACATTAAAAATGAATAATAAATGGAATAAAGGTATTGTATCCAACTGCAACTAAAATAAATAAATAAATAAATAAATGATTTTTAAAAGTCAATGGAAAACACAGGGAAGAATGTAACTCTTAATGTGATCTGTTAATAGTTTCTCAAATCTAACCAAATGGAATTTACATAGCCAGATGTTAACAACGATGTCAGTCACCTTTCCCCAAGCTTGGAACACCTCCAATTTTGAAGGATTACTCCAACAACTTTGGCTTCTTCAAATAGAAACATTATTTGTAGATAAATATATTATTTTTTCAAAGGCTGAATTAAATCTTTGCATTAAATCTTGGTGCAAAAAGCAATGAGAACCCTCACTTTATTTTCTAAATATTATTTTTAAAAAGTTGAACAACATTTGCACAATTTTAACTAATCTAAAGTTTACCAAAATGGATTCTTGCCAATAAGTCTATAAATCCCATACCTGAGTGTGTTTGCTGAATGTCCTTAAAGGGAAAAAAATTTTACTGTAAGCACATTCACTACAAGACATAATTCTTAAAATATATTTGAGGTAAAAGTCTCCTATGGAGAGGGTTAATTTACCTTTTCATTAATAATTAAAGGTACATTATGAACACATGGATTAAAAATTTGCCATATATAGCTTTTARGGCCAGGCACCAAAGGTTGACTCGATTAAAAGGTAATGATCCTTAAAAAACTGGAGTCATGAAATGTAACCCCTCATTCTTCACTGTAACTTTCTGTACCAACTCCTTCGATTTCCATGCCTCAGCACTTCTCATTTTGCCTCTTTCCCTGTAGATTTTGYCCAGGAATTCTGAGAATACTGGATGCTCTTCTACTTCCAGCAGGAAATTGCTGCTGGGGGAACTTCCTCCCAGGGCTAAGCTTTTCTCTGCATTGCAGAGGGGTGGGGAGGCGGGTGTACAGTACAGGCTGCCTAGAATAGATCCCAGACCTTGGGCCTCACAGCCTTGTGGTGACTGAACTCAGAGCTTCCTCACATCTCGTATTTGCATTCCAGTTCACAGAGCCATTTCACACACTAGCTGGCAATTCTTAAGCCTGCTGGAAAACTAACCCAGGATTCACCTCATCCATCATGGAACTATGGCTGTCCTTTGAGGGCTACAGCAAGGGATGGAGGAGTGTTTTTTAATCAGGACTAAATCTACCAGTGAAGAGGGATAATTCCTCAAATTTAAACTCTAGAAAATGAAACGGAAGAGAAGCAGGCCAGGAGTTGAAGGTGGGCTCTAGAGGCAGAGGGAACTGGGTTCAGATCCTTCTTCTTTACTACTCAGTTATATGACCTTGGGCAAGTCTCCTTAAATATGTTCCCTCCTCTGTAAAATGGGAATAACAAAACCTATCTTACAGGGTTTGGGGAAATAAAAGAAATAATGCAGTAATACACACAGCCAATGTCTGGTATACAAAATACTTGGTAAATGCTAAGACTTCATGTTTAGAAGTGGGTCTGGAGCTTGGGTTCAAATCCTATTGCTAGCATTAATAGTCAAGGGCATCTGATGCATTAGGTAAACTTCCCTGAATCACTTTCTATACCATGAAAATGGAATTTTATTACAACTCATAGTAGGTATCTAATAATTATTAGCTATTCTTGTTTCATTGGGAGTAAAAACAGCTTGTATTTCTACATCAACCAATAATTAGTGAATTAAGTGAGACTTCAGTGTAATGTGTATTTTTTTTAAATCGTGAAGACTTTGTATGCATTTATGAATTCTGCGGTAGAGTCAGGCTGAGATGCTAAGGGTGGGGCTAAACTGTAATATGAAGAAAAAAAACTAAAAGGGAATATAAACCACCCACCAGGGAGCTATTTCTTTTGTAATGTGCATTCCATTTCTTCTCCCTCATGCTTTTTAATTCCTTCCACATTTCCTGCCATAATTATCAAATGTTTAGTTTCTGACCTCACTTTTCTGGAGACTAGAGCCCAGGGAATTTAGAATTGTTTATTTTCTGTCCATAAACCTTTGAGTTAATGGAGGGGCTTGTGAGCGAAGGGTTGTTGGTTTGTTTGTAGTGTCTCAGGAAGGTCACTGGAGTTGAAAAGAAAACATTACCAGGAAAAAAAAAAAAAAAAAAAGCTGAAATGCCTTAACTGGAAACGCAGAGCCCCCAAAGGGCAGAGCCATGGATCTCTCACACTTGCGCAATGTTGAGTTTAAAGAATAATTTAGATTTTTTAAATGCCCTTATATGGCCTAGATAACAACAACAACAAAAAAAATCCCAGGGCACTTTGAAAAGAAAATAATAAATTTTCAGGGAATCATAATCTCACTTTATAAAGAAGAAAGAGAAATTTATTTTGCCCCCAAAGAGGAATCTTTTGATTCCCCGACCCCCACCCCCGGGGAAGACAGACTTGGAAAGGAAAAGTCCTGAACTATTCTTAATTTCCTCTAAAGTGAAGGGAAGAACTCAGGGCGCCTTTTTGAACTCGACTGCTGCTGTCGCCGTGTCGGTCCCAGTCCGCCCAGTCGTGCTCTCTCCCCCACCCCACCCTCCCTCCATATTAGGCGCGGTGGGGCTCTCGCTTATGGCCCAAACTTATCCTGATTTTAAGACTGAAGTTTGGCGAGTAGCATTTCTGCTCCGAGCGCCCCCGGAGCCTCACCCCACCCCACTCCACCGCAAGTGTGGAAACTCCCAGTCCCACCCCGCGAGCATCCCAGGACGCACGCCGGCCGCCAGGCGCGCAGAGCCCCTTGGCCTGGGGCCCGCGTTCCGACCTCCGGGACCCCTCACCTACCTCGGCGTGGACCCAGGCGAYGGCCACGAACGCGAGCGCAAGCCAATGTTTCCACATCTGAGGAAGAGAGAAGAGAGCGAGACTGAAGGCGCCGGGCCCCGCGCCGACCCGGGAAACTTCTTCAGGTCCCGCAGGCTCGTCCCCTCCGCCCGGGCACCCCAGGCCGCCCGGAGGGGTCGAGCCACCGCACTCCGTGCTCACCATGGTCCGGTCCGGGGCTCCGGAGGGCGCGGGACAGAACGGCAGCAACGAGCTCAAAGCGAAGGTGGGAGCTTCGCGGATCAGCAGCCTCCGAGGAAATTCGACCTGGGCTCGCCGCCCCTTAAGACCCCTCCTTCCCCGACTGCCTGCCCCCCAGCTCCTCCCATTCTCCTCCCACTTCTGCAGCAGCGGGCCCCGCGGCTCCAGCTCCCCTCCCTTCCCTCGTCCCCAGCTGCGGGGAGCCCTCGTGCGTCCTGGCTCAGCCTAAACCCCTCTCACCGCACGGCCCTTCGCCAGGCATCCCTCCGACCCCCAGGACGCTGAAGCGAAGGCACTGGGGGCTGTCCCGAGGGACGCTGCAACAAAGGCCRAGAGGGGAAGAGGGTGCGGGGTGGAGGGGGAGCGAGGAGAGCCAAAACCCCTCCCCCGGGAGGGGCGGCTGGCCTGCAGCAGCCCGCTGCGTGAGCTGCCGAGGTGGCCAGGTGGGCGGTACCGCTGGAGGCACGGGTCTAGGCCGGGACTGGAACCCCCGGGGAGAAGATGCCCTGCAGCCTAGGCAGTCTGAGCCTCCCTACTGCTGAAAGGGAGAGGATTGGGGTACAAAGGAGCCCCCTCAGCCCAGGTGCCGCTGTAGCCAGAGCATCAGGAAGTGGGTGCAGTGGCCAAAGACCGGCCGGCGCCGGGAAGGCTGGTCTGGGTTCAATCGCTGGGTGAGGGTGCAGTCCCCTGCTTTGCTGAGAAGATCCTGAGTCCAGCATATACTGGTAGCCTTTTCCTGCTCTTCCCTCAGGTCCAAGAACTGTGTCTGCTTCCTCTTCTCAGCCCATGCCTCACCTGTGTCCCTGTCCTTCTGTCATTACAGGTAACTGTCCTGCTCATGCCTTGGATATCCACCACTTTCTTCCTAGCAGCCTGCAAAGGTGTCTTACCTCTTTGAAGGTGCTCCCCACTAGCTTAAATCTGCTTCTTTTCCTGTCATGAGTCCCCCCATGGCTAGTGCAGAGAACTAATCTACTTGACATCTCAGATTTAACTTGCCCAAGGCTGAATCCCCCTTCCCACCAGCTCTGGAGCCTGCTCATCTACCTCCTTCAGTGGTTGTCTTCTAAACATATCTCCTTATTCCATAGCTTGGTTGTCACCATAGCCTGTCAGTTTTCCCATTGAGATYGCATATGCATCCCTCCACTCCCTATTTCCACATGCCCACTTTCCTATGCCAGACCTTCATCTTCCCTCATTAAGAAATTCTGGAAACCACCTCTGGTTGCCCTCTGGCTCCCAACAACCCACTCTTCTAGTTCCACTGCAACACATTGCCATAGTTTCTCACTACTTGGCTTAAATTCTCTTTCTCATGTTTTTCCTTTACTAAGAACCTACAGCATTCTTACCCTATATCAGATCCAAACTTCTTCTTTCCTTGTGAACCCCCCATTACGGTATACCCTAACCCTCTCTTCATCTACTTCAACATGTTCCCTCTTCTCAAATTAGTCTAGTCTTTACATTGTCCTCTGAACTTAAATTCTTGACCCAGTACCTACTGTTGAGGATTTAGGGGGCTTCAAAATAATGCCCAGATTCCTCGTGCAAATTTAAAATCCATCAATGGCTATAGGAGTCACACTTACTGGAGAGAAAATATCAGCTTTGTTCCTGGTGAAAGCTGGAATGGTGGCTTTAGAGCTTCAGGGACAACAGGCCTACTAGTACTTCATCCCAGAGTTACAAGCAGAGTTGGAAAGCTTACTTGTATTAAACCCACTGCATGAAAAAAACAGAAAACACTGCTTCCTGGGGCAGGCCTGCTTCCTAAACTTAGAGTATAGAGGATGCATGACTACTTTGGATTTCACCAGTCAGAAAACTTCCTCCTGCTCACTCCTCATGAAAGTAAGAGGAGCAAGAAATAGATGTAGCCCCACTAGATATACTGTCCTAATCGTTGTGCTAGGATCAAAGGAGGGAAGTATGGTATACAAAGTCTTGTTTCTGTCCTCTATCAACCACAATACTTTGTACCCTTCATATAGCACTGTTCCCCCTCAAAACTGGCATTCTTGGTTTGGGGTTGTAGCTCAGTGGTAGAGTACTTGCCTAGAATGTATGAGGCACTGGATTCAATCCTCAGTACCACATTAAAATAAAATAAAAGTATTGTGTTCATCTATAACTAAAAAATTTAAGAAAAAACTGGCATTCTTCCTTCTATTAAAATTCTCTTTTGTTATTGTTATTTTCAGAGCCCAAGTCAAATTCTTTGCTCTCTAGCACCTTTTTCTACAAAACTTGGCAAAGTGTAAAGTATGTAAGGTTTGAAGTCAAACTAACCTGACTTTCAGTCCTGTCACTGCCATTTGCTAGCTGGGTGACCTTCATCAAATTACTTAAGAACCTAGCTTTCTGCATGTGACAAATGGYAGTGATAACGCCCTTCAGGGATTGTGAAATTTAAATAGACACATTATAAAAAATGCCAGGCAGGTAGCAGGCCTCTGTAAATGATGACCATTATTTTTTCATTGTTCTTTTGCATCTAAATAGCAGTTTGTATATGTGCCAGGTACTTGAGAATCATTCAACATGTCTTATTTTATTTGTCACAATAAACTAAAAGTTTTTTTTTATTAGTTCCATTTTCAAATAAGAGAACTGAAGCTCAGAAAAATTTAGATACTTTTGCAAGGTTATACAGTTAGTTATCCAGCTTTTCAGCTTGGCATTTTTATTGCATACTGTTGTACAATGTTTAACACTTGTTTACATAGTCCTTGATTCAGAGTATGGTTATCAGTGGGAAGCTTTGGTTGCAAGTGACAGACAGAGAAGCCAATTTCAATAAATGGCTCTGAGATCAAATAGAATTTATTGACCCATGCAGCTAAGCAGTCCAGAGATAAGACTGGATTTAGGTAAGCTTTTATCTGGGAGTTCAAATAAGGTCACCAGAGATCACTTTCTTGCCATCTCTTGCTTCCACCTTTCAGCAGTGTTATTGCATTCCTGAGTTCTACAGGGTGGTTCCTGCAATCCCAAGTCTATTCTCTCATTGTGGTAACTGACAGCAAGACTAGTCTCATCTGGGTGAGAGAAAGAGCCTTTTTCTGGAGCTSCTACAAATGTCATAAGACACACTTTTTTTTTCCTTTTGCCCTATTGGGGACTGAACCCCATTGAGCTATATCCCTAACCCTTTTTATTTTGTATTTTGAAACAGGGTCTGAATAAATTGCCCAGACTGGCCTCCAACTAGCTATCCTCCTGTTTCAACCTCTGAGTCCCTGGGATTCCAAGCATGAGTCAGTGCACTTAGCCATGGTATGCATTTTAAAAGGCCAAATTGAGTTTCTTGACATCTCCAAACTGATCACTGTGGTGGAAAATTGGCTGGCTTAAGCCAATGAGGACCCACCCTTGGAACATCCAAAAGAAGTTCAGTCYGATGTTGTCAGGAGAAGCAGGGAATGGATGCTAAAAGAAGCCAATGTCCACTACAACCTCTACTGTGAATTCATTCTTCTCCAAAGAAGGGTAAAGGGCCCCCAGAAGGCATGGGAAAAGAAAGTTAGAACTTCTATTTTTACTTATTTCCTATCTAAAAATAGAAATTGGCTTTGCAAATATGAGTTGACTCCGGTGTTCATATTTGGTTTCTATGTCAGCCATGAGTTAAACCTCATTCACCTAACACCATGAGGAGCGAGTGGGTATTCTTCCAAACAAAGTGAATGACATCCGCTAGTCCTTTTAACAGACTGTGGTGTGGTGTGCTGTAGTGTGCCCATTTCAGTGGATTTACACATGATACTATCTATTTTAAACTAGATTTAAAATAGTTCAGATATAAAACCATAAYTGAGGATAAAGCTTTTTTCTAATAGTAAGGAAAGGGCTAACTAACACATTTCCTACTTCAGAAAAGAGTTTACCATCTGCTCCATTAACATGATAAAAGCAATTGACAATTAAATCTGGCCATAGTCAATTAAAAAATTCAAAAGTAACATTATGACTATTTAAAACAGATTCACAGTCATTGTTGTGGCTTAATCCCTTGTATGCCTTGAAATACTGGTTAAAACCACAACCTTTAAAAACCAGGTATCTGAACATAAAGACAAATCCTGCTTTTTTTTTTCTTTTTTGGTGAGTATATGTAATACTCAGTTTAGTAGTTTAGAAAATTTCACTTAGTTTAATACTAAATGTTTAGAGACTTTATTTTAGGTTTCTTAATGACAAAAAACATACTGTTGAGGAAATATTTGTTTTCCTGCTTAATAGGGAATAGTATAAATAGTACATGAAGAACAATATGATGGTAAAATATGGGTACACATTTTGTGTTTTGTATCCATGGATTCAGCTAAGCRCAAATAGAAAATATTCAGGAAAAAAATTGTGTGTTTTATAAGCATGTACAGACTTTTCCCCTTGCCATTGTTCCCTAAGTAATACAGCATAACAACTATTTACATAGCATTTGCATTGTRTTGGGTATTATAAGTAATCTAGATATAATTTGAAGTGTTTGGGGGGAATACAATAACAATAGGTTATATGCAAATATTGCACTATTTTACACATGGGAGTTGAGCATCCTTGGATTGTGTTACCTTCAGGGGTGTCCTGGAAATGATCACTGAGGATTTCAAGGGATGACTATATATATATATTGCTGTAGATTATCAGAAGATGAAATTAAAACAAGTAACAGAGCAAATGACACCATGTGGGAGATTGCTGTATAGAGAATAAATATATAGATGTCTCAAATGTTCCTTAGATTATTATATTGGCTAAATTCTGTTTCAATAATGAAATRCACAAAGAATTGCTTTTTGTGTGTATGTGTGTGTGCAACCTAGGAAGGGTATACTGAGAGAGAAACATTCTTAATAATACATTGCATCTTTAATGAAAACAATATTTTCTGGAAGAACGGTGCAAGTAAAGCCACGTAGGAGTAGAAGGATTTGGGCAAGGTTCCACAGTGAGGCTCACATGTGAAATCTTCACTGCACCATCCATGGAGGAACTGCTGCAGCAAAATCACTGGGGTCAGAGGGCACATAATGTTACAGAAAGTCATTGATGTGGTTAATAAGTTTT